TGCCCCCCCAGGAGCTACCCCTCAGGTGCACCATGCCACACCAGGTGTTCCCCTTCAGCCCCAGGAACAGCAACCCCAGCACCTCCCCTTCCCCTGGAGTGGGCAGTGTGTCGGGACGGTTTCTGCCTGGTGCCCACCCAAGGGCTCTGGGGGCCCTTCCATGCATCCCTACATGCCTGGGGGCCTTAGGTTGCCCTGGGCCAGAGAAGATGTGCTAGGGAGCAGGAGGAACAGGAAGGAGCCTTCCCTGGGGACAGGAGGGCATGGCATAGGGATGCCTGACCAAAGGCAAGAGCCAAACAGACCAGGTGGGCAACTTCTGATTGGCTGCCTGTGACATCACCAGGCCGGGCTGCCATTGGCCCCTCTGTGTGATTGGCATTTGGAGAGGCAGTGCATGCTGGCAGGGGTCTCTAGGGCCGGGAGGCTCTCAAGGCAGCGGTTGGCCCTGTTCAGCCTCACTGCCCTCCTCCCCAGCCACAGGGATCTGAAACCCGAAAACCTCCTGCTGGACGAGAAGAACAACATCCGGATCGCGGACTTCGGCATGGCATCCCTGCAGGTTGGCGACAGCCTGTTGGAGACCAGCTGCGGGTGTGTGGCTCTCCTGCCTGCTGGCTCTGCATGGGCTGGGCTGGGGGAAGAGGAGGAGCCGGCGGGCTGAGAGGTCCCCAGCCTGCCTGAGCCTCCTGGCACCCCACGGGCTTCAGTCTCCCAGTACCCCCCACAATGTGCTTGAGTTTCCCAGTATCCCCCCAGCCTGGTGGTGGTGGGGAGGTGAGACCCCTGGAAGGTCTGTGCAGTGAGGATAGGGGTGCATCCTGCCCACCTGGGAGTGAGGCTGGGACCCTACAGGCCCCTCTCCTGGAGACCCCCAGCCCTTGCTCGGCCGAGTGAAGCAGAGACCCAGTGCCCCGACCTTGGTCTCCTCTCAGAAGCCTCCTGGGGATTCAGTGAACCTGGGGGCGTCTGGTGCCAAAGCCCAGTGAGCCTACCTGAGGGCCCCAAGATGCACCACTGCCCTGGGGGCAGGGACTGGCAGCACCCAGAGCCCACTGCTGACCTCTGCCCTTGCCCGCAGGTCCCCCCACTACGCCTGCCCCGAGGTGATCCGGGTGAGTCCCCACTGCTGTGTGCATCCCTGCGGGTCCCAGGGTGGCAGGGACCTGATCCCGGTGGGACCCCAGCCTGCCACACCCACCTGTCCTGGGGCCCAGCTTCCTCCCGGGCCCTCTGTCCAGCCCCGCCAAGGCCCCCTGCCCCACCCTGCACCCCCCAACAGCCCAGGCACTGCTGTCCGCAGGGGGAGAAGTATGACGGCCGGAAGGCGGACGTGTGGAGCTGCGGCGTCATCCTTTTCGCCTTGCTGGTGGTGAGACCCCGGCCCCCGCCCCAGTTCCCCGCCTCTCCCTTCCCCCACACTCCCCACCCCCCGGGCCTCGATGACCCCCGCCCGCCGCCCGCAGGGGGCCCTGCCCTTCGATGACGACAACCTACGGCAGCTGCTGGAGAAGGTGAAGCGGGGTGTGTTCCACATGCCACACTTCATCCCGCCTGACTGCCAGAGCCTGCTGCGGGGCATGATCGAGGTGGACGCCGCGCGCCGCCTGACGGTGCGTGTCCGCCTCGGAGTGGGGTGCCCGGGCGTCGCAGAGGCAGGCATGTGCCCAGATGTGTGGGCACCAGGGTGTGTGGACAGGGGCCCCGGTGTGTGGACGCCCAGGTGTGTGTGTTCAGCTGTGTGGGGATGTACAGGTGTGTGGGTGCCCAGGTGTGGGGGTGCCCAGGTATGTGGGCATGTGCTCAGGTGCTTAGTTGTGTGGGTGCCCAGGTTTGGGCTTGTGTTCAGGTGTGGGGATACACAAATGTAGGCATATGCCCAGGTGTGGGGGTGCCCAGGTGTGGAGTGTGCCCAGGTTCATGTGTTTGGGTGGGGGCACAGGCTTGGGCATGTGCACGTGTGGGGAGGTGTGTCCAGGTGCCTGTGAACACTTTGACAGGTGTGGGTATGCACAGGCAGGGGTGCGTGGGTGGGGTTGCAGGTGTGGGGGCTACGTGCACAGACAGGTGAGGCCTGGGCTGTAAGTTACACAAAAGCACCGGTGCTTCCCCATCGCGGCCACCTTCCTCCACATGCCGCTGGGAAAAGCCCCAGGCTGTGTGAACACTTGCCCCTAAGGGACCCTGGCAGCTGTGGGGCTGGCAAAAGCCAAAGGTAGCCCCCACCTGCTGGTCCCAGCCTCCTCCAGGGCAGTCTGGTGTGGGGACCCCGCATGTCGACTTGACAGAAGCAGGTCACCCTCTGGGCTGGCCTTTCCAGGATAGTGTTGGTCTGTTCCCAAGAGGCCACTGCCCCACAACCCCGAGCTGTCTGAGTCAGGGTGGAGAGAAGGGGCCGTGTGGCTGGCCGGCCCTCCCAGCCTCCTGCTCGCACCTGCACCCAGCCCCGCCCCCGCCACACAGGTGGGCCGGGTTCTCCTGGCTTCAGCTCCCCGCTCTCCTGCCTTGGTTCCTTTTTAGAGCCATGGAGGGGCCTGGCCCAGGCAGCACAGGCACCTGGGGCCGCCCTGGCTCCAGCTTCGCTGCCTCCCCCCTCCCTCTGCTCCCTGGGCCCCTGCCCCTACCTGGAGTTCCCCCACCCCCGACCCCCAGCTTACCTCCTCCTTGAGGTTTGCATTTTCTTCTCCACTTGGGAGAGAGAAGGGCAGGGGTGCTGGCAATGAGCCTCTGGGAATGCAGCCCCCGCCCCACCCTCCTCCCCCTCCCTCTCCTCACCTGCCCTCACCCTCTCCTGCTCTCTCTGCACCCCCAGCGCCCCCACCTTCCCCTCACCTCCTAATGTGGACTCTCCAACCCGTGTCCGTACTAACTCCCTGTTTCTCTTTCCTTGTAGCTAGAGCACATTCAGAAACACATATGGTATATGTAAGTAGCTTTTCCACCCACTAATCGCCTGCTTTGCCTGTCGCTGTGGCCTGGAGGCCCTGCTAGGAAAGGCGGGGGGAGGTTGCCGGCCCTGCCCCGCCTTGGCCCTCGGCCCTTGGTGGCCTGCGCTGGGTGCGGGGTGCGGGCAGGACGCAGGAGGCCTCCCCGGGCTGGGCACAGGGAGAGTGGCAGGATGCAGGGCCCAGGTGAGGGCGGGCCTCCCAGCCTCCCAGGCCCGGCCAGTGCTGACAGCCGGGCGGGCTGCCCTGTGTCCACAGAGGGGGCAAGAACGAACCGGAGCCAGAGCAGCCCATTCCCCGCAAGGTCCAGATCCGCTCGCTGCCCAGCCTGGAGGACATCGACCCTGACGTGCTGGACAGCATGCATTCCCTGGGCTGCTTCCGAGACCGCAACAAACTGCTGCAGGACCTGCTGTCGGAGGAGTGCGTCCCAGGAGGCTCCCGGGGGCGGCGGTGGGGAGGGGGGAGCCTGGGGGTGGGAGCCCCGTCATGGAGGAGCCAGTGTGAGAGGAGTGTGTCCCAGGAGGGGGGAGCCTGGGGGTGGGAGCCCCGTCATGGAGGAGCCGGTGGCCCCATGTGCCAGTGCACCCCGCACCTCTTGCCCACCGTAGGGAGAACCAGGAGAAGATGATTTACTTCCTCCTACTGGACCGGAAAGAAAGGTACCCGAGCCAGGAGGATGAGGACCTGCCCCCCCGGAATGAGATAGGTATGGTCTGGGGGTGGCCTCCGCCTGGCCGGCACTGCTCCACCGGGCCCAGGGGCTGCGTGGCCTGACGTTCGTCTGTGCACAGACCCTCCCCGGAAGCGTGTGGACTCTCCGATGCTGAACCGCCATGGCAAGCGGCGGCCGGAGCGCAAGTCCATGGAGGTGCTCAGCGTGACGGACGGCGGCTCCCCGGTGCCTGCGCGGCGCGCCATTGAGATGGCCCAGCACAGCCAGAGGTGTGTATGCCCCGAGGCTGCTGGCCTCCCTCCCTGGGCCCTGGCTGTGTGGCACCGCTGCCTGGCTCGTCCCTGCCCATGGCCCTGGGGTCTTGGCTGAGACCATTGCGTGGGGCTGCATGGGCTGAGCTGGGCTTAGCTGAGCTGGACTGGACTGGTCTGGGCTGGGCTGGGTTGAGCTGGACTGGGCT